CAGCACTACCCTCTCCTGGACAGAATTAATATTGCAGTGTGTTTAGTATTTAAAAAGGCCATACTACTTCTCTTGCGGACTCTAGCTGCTCAACATGGTGACCGAGGTCCTTCCTTGCTCCTAGCACCAAGGAAATCAGCCAACTGCATGGTCGTATTGATCACCCACTTGTCCTTGTCCCATCGGAGCTAACCCACAGTATAACCTTACCTTTCCCAGCATCTTGTCTCTTACGTATTAAAAATCAATTTCTAAACTATCTTCTGTTTCAAAGATTATCGCATTTCCCAGTGAAGACATGTCCCAAGAAAAGGAAGGCACATAAGAGAATTTTAGTAAACAGGAATACAACTTTTGCCTCCACCTCTGTCCAACCATGCTGCTTTTCTCCACTACCAGGAAGTAGATTTAAACTTTGTGTTCAGGAAATAAGATCATGGTGGCACATTTGGGTACCTGAGTGCAAATCATGTTACATACATGGAAATTATTTCTAATCTTATATTTTTCTATCAAATAGGCCATATTATTGAAATCAACAGTCCTGTAATAGGCCAAGTATCAGCAGAAGAGTACAAATCACAGAAAATGTAGCTCAGAAGGGACCTCAGGACATTTTCTAGGCTATTCCCTTACTACAACTTTACTTAAACCTTTCCAAACAAATGCCCAGTTCATACTGTTCTAAAAAACTTCTGCCATGACAATGTAACAGTTACTCCAGGAATCTGTAACAGGGTTGAAATAACCTTGCCATTAAGAATCTTGCTAATTTCTAATCTAAATTTACTTTGCTGAAATTGTAATACAGACTTTCACATATCAAAAGACAATTATCATGTCCTTCCTCAGTTCTGTTTTCTCCAGCTTAAAAAAAAACAGACTGCTTTCCCACTTAACAGCCCACGTACTACAACTGTACAGATTACAAAGCATTTTCCTTTTACAGAGCTGTTTATATTGGTGTGACAATGCAATGCCCCACACCAGACAATACAATACACTGCCTAAGATCTTACCAATGTTCATAAGTACAAAGATTATTTATACCACTCCTGCTTACATATCTTCATACAGTCACGCCCACAAGCAGGCTGCAGGAAAGGAGATGCAGAGCAACTGAGAATTTTCCCTCTGGATTCCTAGAAGACAGATGCCAAGACCTAGTGAAAGAAAAGGAAGTATCTGAATGCCCTGTGCAGCTGAAGCCTAACCTGAAATTTCAGCCAAAGCAGTTTGGTTTGGAGATCAAAGGGAACATTCAGGTTTATTGCTTAATCTTAACTCATTCTTACTTGCAGACCTGGCTTACGCTCTGACTGCAGACAATCACCCAGGTACAAACTTAAACGTGCAAGAGGCAGGCTTGTACATACAGATAATACTTGACTTTTGTGTGAACATCCCCTGGCCATTTTCACTAAGGTTGAAAATTATACTCTCTGTTACTCATATGCCTTAAAGTAAAAAATTAAACAGTGAAAAAGAACCTTATCTAAAGTTCTCTCTCCTAGATCAATTTCTACACTGACTGTAGCAAGGTAAATAAGAAAACTTACAGCAGAAGTACTCCTCCCTATTTAAACAAACACAGTACAAACAGGAAGCAAAACACACATCAGATTTAAAGAGATCTTTTAAAAAAAGAAATTAGGACCAAAGGCAGTTCTACTTCAACAACACATAAACAGACATATTTTTCTCCCCGCTGACCACCATGCACACACACCTTTGCCTTAGCCACTCCCCAGAAAGCAAGCATTGTATTGTGGTAAAATACCTGCCAGCCCATACCTGGCAGCCCATATGATTAACAGATAAGCCACCTCTGTGCGCATGGGGAAAATAACTGAAGCGTGTATGGAATATATATATCATGATATTTCAGAGCATGCTTTCACAGTTATTTACTCAAAGTAAGAAGGACCATTTTCACAGTCATGTGTGAAAATTCCACATCTGTCACCCGTGGAGCATTCGTCCCTGTCCCTGAAGTACCTGCTGTTATTCCCTATAAAGTAACACAGCTACTGGGAATGAGTTCTCATTCCTTCTCCTGACAATTCTTATTACAGGTGATTGACATCTACTTCAGAAGTTAATTTAAAACTGAGGAAGTTAAATGATCCTTATGAAACTGCATCCTTCTTGATTCTTAGGTCATGACTTGCCTTGAAAATGAGCTTTAATTGCTTATTTCCACAAACGTAAGCACTACTGACAAAAACATTGATATTTTTCCAAGTCCAACACCTTAAACTAATCAATGCTATTGTGTTTCCAGACAGCCATACCACAATCTTCTAATTTCAAAAATGTGACTAGTTTAATGTCTTTGGGGTTGGTTGTCTTTGCTGCTGCAGTAATTATTTGCCAACATTTACTTAACTGTGTTTAGATATATTAAGTAAAGGAAAACTGCATGACCCTTTAGGTAGCTCCTTGGCAACATTTTGTTTATAGTGCTGCTAGAGAACCCTGGTGGGAACATACAAGGGCTCTCCGGAACATGAAAGGCAGCTCAGTTTGGTTTTTGAAGGATAAACATGTTTTATTTCCTCTTCTTCACTTGGAAAGATAACAGATATAAAAAGTGGCCTACAGATGGGAACTCAAGGAACCATAACTAAACAGTAACGATGAACACAGAGCCAGCAAATTCAGAATACAAGCGAGTGTCAAAAAAAGAATGGGAGATGAAAAACCATTCACCTTGAAGGGAAAAACAGAAAGGAAGTATACATTTGAAGATATTATTGGTGTGTGCACAGACTTCCCAGACATAAAGTTTATAATTACATTGAAAAAGACCACCAATATATATACATAGGGCTTTTTTCAGTCATTCAGGTATACCCAGAAAAACAAAATGGACATCCCAATACACATGCATGCTATAGCCAATGTATTTGCTTACATGCCTCTAGATTAAGTACTAGGGGAGGAACTAAACAAATAGCACAGACATTTTCAGTACACATACAACTAAATGCAGAAATTTCTATGCAGTTACTTCCAAATGCTTTCCAGACAATTCCCACATAATGCCATTCACTCTTTACTGGTATATCTTACAGCAGTTTAAGCACTGATGCAGTCAACTGACCCAAGATGTTCTTTTTACAACTCATACCTGAGATTCACAGTTTTCCAAGTTCAAAACCAAAGTTTAGTCCTTGGCCTAGCCACACATGTAATTAAATTAAAAAAAATAAAGTGTCAGAGAGTTATTAAAGTTATTCAGCCTTTCCTCTCTAGAATTTTTATCAGGAATGATGAAAAATAATAAACCAATTTTTAAACGTTGAATGGGGAGGAAGAGAACTAGATGGGCATTTTGTTAAATTCCCCCCTGACAACCGAAGTTACAGCTATACAATTCTATTGGTGCAGTCACTGAAGTGCAAGTTTAGTTGTCCTGGCACAGAAGCATAACACTGTTATTGTTTATCTGCATAGGAAAAGAGCCCTGTAATACAACTGTTACCCTAAAGTCTAAGCCTATGCCAGCAGCTGCACCAGTTCAGTTACTGCAGCTATAAGCAAATGTAACACAAAAGAGAGCAATATAAACACTGTGATCAGACCAAACCTTGGCAAAGTCATCAGCTGTAACACAACTCTCAGCGCTAAGGGATAATAATTCAAATGTATTCAATGATGTCATTCAGAACTGCAAAACAGAACAGCATTTTGAATCACAAAAAGAAAATTTTGTCTGACATGACATTTGAAGGCTCAGAAGGCCATATTGTAAATGGTGGTTTTAATGAAGTAGAAGCTGAAGCAAATTACAGGCCAGAGCACGGAAGTATTTTAACACCTAACTTCCCAGTGACTTAGTAAGACTTCAGAGCCTGAATACTGGCTAGATGCACAACACCTGTAAAAATCTGGGCCTACAAATACCTTCTTGAAGTACTAACACTGCTACTCAATCAACTATGACAGAATCCTCCAAGCTCCTTGTACCCTATGGAATTTCTAAACTGGAACACTAATAAAAAAACAACAAAACAAACAGAAATTACAAACCAAAACAATCCACAATTCTTTCTTAGAGATACAATCACACTTTAGCATGCAAGACTTCATATATTTTTATCTCAATATGTTATTCAATATGCTACATGAACATGCAAATATTCGTCTCAATATGCTTAGCAAATGATGGACAATCTAATTCTTTTTATAGTTAGAAAATTGAGGCATATTTTGTATTATCTCTTAAATTTACATCAGACTGTAGCACTGCTAGGAGTAGCCCACCCAAAATTTTATTCTCAACACTGTGCCTCATCTACCAGGCCATACCATATAGTCAGAAGGCAAACTGTTCCAACTCAGTACTCAAGGAAAGCTGTATAGCAGGCACACAATTATCCCCTCCCGCTTCTTAACATGGTGCCTTTGGTAATTAAAGCAAAACACTTTCTAGTTCTTTGCATTCTGACAAATGAGTGATAAATTTAAGACTAACATGAAAATGTATGTTTGGGTTTTTTTTTATTTAGCAATTAATGACAAGTTTCAGTTCAGTTTTAGTTAAAATACTGGGACGCAGCTCAAAAGAAAAACTTTGCTGCCACCTAAAGGAAAAATCTTCAAGGAACACATGGCAAAGAGAACTGCATCTCATTTTTCCTCACTCAATTTCAAAGCCCTGATGATGAAAATCAAAACCTAAAACTAGTTATACACATTCAAACCCAGGAAGGATTTATGTATCTCATCTTCCGTAGTAGCTAGCAGTAAATACTTATGAAACCCCTCTTTTACATACTCTGGATTTCAATCCATTCAGATTCTTTGATATTCACCAATCAAGTAGATAAATTAAATACAAAGCTATATTCTCGTTACCAAGGAAAGAAAGTTCAGACAAACAGTTCTGAGAGCAATGTGTTTAGTTTTACAAAGTGGAAAAGACACTGATGACCTAAATAAACAATTTGTCTCTCCTCACTAATGCATTACTTATTTTCTTGGTTTATTTCAAGATTACTGATGCGTTCTGCCATTCAGCTCCAACTCGGATCCCCAAACCAAAGCCTACAAGCACAACCAAAGTACCTGTCAGAATTCCTGTTGGACATCTCAGCAGACCACTCCAAGACAGCAGCTCTGGAAAGCTACGCATTGTAAGAACTGTGTCTAAAACATGCCTTCAAAGCAGAGGGAGAAGGTAAATAATTTTCTATAATCTATGACATTAAAATGGATTTAAGCGATCTGAATCGGAGCAGTAGTTTCCATCGGGGAAGATTCTGAAACTGTCCACATGATCAGCACATCAGTGGTCACCAATCACAGGACAAGAGACATACAAATTCTTAGGAGCCAAATGTTCTGCAGGGGCCAAGCTCTGCTCCTGTTTTTTTGGTGTAATTCCAGAATGTGGTCCTCATAGTAGAGAAGCACACGAGACACAAATAAGTTTCTACTGTAAATTCAGTTTTGACATGTTCCACAAACTGGAATGCTAATGTTGTCTCAACAGATGTGTAAAAACATATGGTCAATTAAGAAGGGTTGAAGGAGGTGCCATTTTGTTTTCAAAGTTGGTCTAGTCAAGAACTGTTTTAGTATGGGTATCTTATGTTCAGTAGTAAAGACAGAATGAAGAGAGGTATCAGAAAATCTGCTCTTTTATAATGCATAGAACTTTAAGAAATGCAGAGTTCCTTGTTGTGCCAAGCATCACTTTCAAAGCATGATTTGAAAATGAACAGTTCTCTCCTCAGTGAGTTAACTAATATGATTAACTCACTACTATTTGTGCAGATATTAACTTTGAAAAATGGATAAAAGAATTGACATGGATATTGTCTGTACTAGTTGTGTAAATTTCACCATTTTATTTGGACTATTGTATCTATGCTTGAATTCACTTAAATACTACTTTGGAAATTATCAAAATTTGTGTCAAGCTTAACAGTAAGTTGTGACTTACACAGAAGCACAGTTTTGTTCCTGCATTCCTCCACAATTTCGCCCTTCCTTTCAACTGCTTACATTCAAGCAAAATAGGTAACAACCATATGCATAAGTCTTCATGAAGGTTTTTATTAACCAAAATAACTCTTTGTACAAGTAGTTCAGTAGTTCTAGTTCATCCATGACAGAATTTGCCTTTTGCTTTTCTTAAAGCATAACTTTCTTAAAAAACTTTAAATTTACTCAGTTTCCTTTCAGCCATTGCACAAAATCAATCAGAACAGTAGAAAAGACTCCAGGTTCACTGTTTCCAATTTTCTGAAAAATAGCAACTGTTGCTCTGACAAGAAAATTTCTTGCTGTTCCACTTTAGAAAGTTAAAAATAACAAGATACAATTACTGCAAGGAACCCCCCTCAGGAAACCTGGAATACCAACTAACATAACTTACTGGTTTGGAATATAAAAATCAATTTATTTCACTGGTATTAATGTCTTCCTCATTCTTCTTCCCCTAAGAGAGTGCATTCCAACAGTCTAAATGGCTCAACTGACAATTTGTGGGAAAACTCCTTTCACATAGGTCTTTAAGAACTGTCAAATCCTAATTCCTAAATAAAGCAAAAGTTTGTGGTGATCACAGTGCCATAGCCAGAACTGTGACCCTTTTGCTGAAGCAAGGAGAGATTTTGATACATTCAGTTATCCGATTTTTCCTTTTTATTTCACAGCTAAAAGTTTAATTTAACTACTGAGACAGTACAACACGTTAGCACTGCTGCATGACTAGTTTTGCAAACCACAACAGAAAACTAGGCTTCCCTCAACAACTCCACAAGAAAGTCTCCAGGAGTACTGAAATAAGGAAAAGTTTAAAAAGAACAGTCTACTGAAAAGTATTTCAGCTTGTGTCCTTTGACACAAGACACACTTATGTCAAAATGCAGAAATTAAAAAGAAATGTCTTTGAGTTTTATTCACTAAATCTGCAAGTAACTATAAACCTTCAAGGCTCTGTGTCATGTATGTTCAGATCTAAATAAAATTCATTGAAGCACACCATTGTATGTTCTGCAGCTTGCGAAATGAGGGTATGTAAATGTGAAGAAACACAAATTTCTAACAGCAGCTGTTGACTTCGAATGCTTATCAGAGAGATCTTCAGTAGAAGAAGTTTCATCAGAAGGGACAGGAACTCATGGATGAACCAAAAAAGAGAAGAAACAGATACAAACCATACACACATCTGCCAACAGATCTTAGCTTTGATCAAGCAACAAACTCTCACTGAACATACTACAGTGTACAACAGTCTGATATCCAATAGTTGCAAATCACGTATTATAAACTGATGTTATCTGGCACCCTTTACTGTCAGTCTACAGAAAGAAAAGAAAACCTCTGGCAAAAGAAATTAATTCCCACAATAGCATCTGTTGCTTTAGAGCCCAAAAAGGACTCCACAAGTCTGTCAAATCATCCACCATAGTACCATATTCTCACCTATTTGTACTGCTATCATAGAAGAGTTTCCCTGTCTTTTGCTCCTGTCTTGAGATGACATAATTACCTATGAGGGCCATAGCTGACATATAATTTTACTTAAGAACCTAAACAGATAAATGAGGATACTACACTCTTACAGGATTAAGGAAGACACAGAAAGCATGGAGAACGAAAGACAAGGAGTAGTAACAATAAAGGAGGACACTGGAAGAAGTTCTGAAAAACAGAAGTGCATCCCTCTCCCTCAAACTGCTTGGGAGATGTGGCATGCTGGCTATGGGCAAGATACGGACAATTACAGTACTGTGAGAAGTGCTCTTTCTGTTCATGGAGAAAAGAGAAAAAAGTTGGTGTCTTTCACCAACACTACACAATCACCTTAGTATTTCTTAACCTCCCCCTTATAGTTCTGAATGCAATATAAAAATCACATTCAAGACTGGACATAGTTGTGATATGAACCGGAAAAAGGGAGGGGAGGAAACCCTGCAGTTAAATTACTTTGGACATGTGTAACACTAAACAGATAAGTAGATGATAATTCCTAACCACTCTCTCCACAGATCTCCTCTCAAAGTTAAAGGTTTGCTGATGAAGTTATTGGGCAAGGTTCTTTAGTTTGTGTCAGGTGACAAGGTAAATAGAAGGCTAATCCCTTCAGGGTTTTTTTGAGTTGGGTTTTGGGTTGGGTTTTTTTTACATCTATAAACCACATGCAGCAGGGTAAACATTCATGTCTCAAAGTGAGAGTAACCACCTTTAATCTTTAATATGTATTCTAAAATAATGATTGGCCAAAAGCAAATTAAGAATTACTTATATATATATATATATATATATATAAAAGGATATCTATTTTGTGTTTTCATACCCTTTAAGTGAGTCTGAATGTCTTTCATGCACTTCATCTTAAAAGCAGCCTCTTCTAACTACGAGTTACTAAAATCTAAGACACTTTTGAGGGCTGAATTATTAGGAAGAATATTCCATTGACGGGGACTTCTTATAGGGCTAGTCTTAAAGGACTTGGCAAAAGATCAGTACCTAGAAAGTACATTTTGAATTCTGCTTTGTACTTACAGTTGTGGCAGAGATGTGTTTTTAAAATAGGTCAGCAGTAGTTGGATAGTAAACTTTCTTTTTATGAAATTTGTTGTTTCACAGAAATAAACGTGATCAAGTCTGTCAAAAGTGTTCACTAATGGGCAATTATTTTTGTGTATTGCTGGTTCTGTTGTACATTGTAAACCCTGATCTCCTATTTTATGCCAACTGATTTTAAAGGATTATATAGATATATATAGATACATATAGAGATAGATATATAGATAGAGATATATATATAGATATATACTCATAAGATGTGGTACAAATTAACCTTTGATTTTATATCTGTTGCACGTGAAAAATAGCTACACAAAATAAAAGTTACAGATGTTCTTCTTACTTTACTCACGGCTTGTGTCAACTTAATACAGTAACAGTCTCCACATAAAGAACCTGCCAAGAAGTTTACAAAGGTGGGATATGTGGATCAGAGTACATGGTCTGCACAACACTCACCTGTACTCACTACTCTCAACACATTCAAAGAATGTTCTTGGAGTAAAGTGTATATAGCACTTTTAATACAGGTCTGGATTAGACACAGTCTCATCTCAAAGTCAGCTGGTTTATCTACCATGTCAAAAGTTTATCATCCCAGTCCTAATTTATATCCCATTTCTAAAGGAAAGCTGCCAACATTTTAAAAATCAGCTGACACTGATCACAGAGCTTGAAAAGTCTGGCTGGCAGAATGTGCAGGCTTTTAAGATATTCAGGACTCTTGACATTATATTGAATAAAAAAAACCTCCAAAACATATTAACAATCAATTAATCAATAAAATAAGGCACTATAAAGCCTTAAAACTAATTTTAGTTGTCTTGCTCTACCACACTAAACTCCATTACCTAGTTTTCCACAGTAAAACTCAACATGCAACCACACACTTTGAAAAAAAGCCAAGTATAGGAGCGAGATAGTATAATCACCAGGCAAAGATACAGATCAGCCATAGTACCATGCTCTAAAGAGCAATGACTGGAGAAAAGCTGTTCAACTCCTGCCCTTTGACAGTAACACATGGTAAAGGTGATGTTAAAGACACCCCAGTGAGCACATGGGTGACGCTTTTCAAGTACCACAGGTACTTCTTCCCTCCAAAGGCCTTTTAGAATTGTAAGCAACATCGGTAACAGCAATCAACACACAGTATACAACACCCTTTCACCAAAGAAACCTGGTTTGGAAGAAAACACAAGTTAGAAGCTAAATGAATGCAGGGGACAACTGAGTTCTGAACTCCGTGCAAGCCGTTTTCTTCACTCTACCCTGCATCTCCGCCTTTTAAAATTCGCTTAGATGTATTTTTTTGTTGAGTGGGTTCCTGTTACTTAAGTAGATGTTATTTTCGTTTGCCGCTTCATCCCGTAAGTACTCCGGGTCTGAGGGTCAGACATTAGACATTACCTGGATGCAGAGATTTTGTTTGCGAGCAAAACCGCCATCGCTACTAAGCAGGGAAAAAAAGCAGGCACGGGAAGAAAAAAGCGGGTGAGAGGAAAACCAGGAGAAATAAATTAAAAGCGGAGAAGGGAAAGCGGAGGACTGGAGGGAGCGGGAATTGGGAAGAAGGGGAAAAAATAAACCCCACAAAACCAAACAACGAAAAGGAATGAGGAGGGCCAGGTAGAAGGGGGCTGCCCCCCAGGAATCCTATTCCTAGCCCAGCATGAGAAGCAAGCTCCAGGAGGAATACCTGGACTATCACTTGCCACTGCCGGGGAATCCCACCACGGTTCGTCCAGCGTGTCTCCCATACTGCGGCCCCTACTACCGCCACGCGGGGACTGGGAGGCGGAGCAGCGCGCGGACACCGCGCCTGCGCACTGGCACCGCCCTCCCGGCGGGAAGGCGGGACCACTGACAGGGGAATCGTCCCTGCAACGCTTTTCCCCCCCCCCTCCCCCGACCCCGTTTTACCACTTGTGGCATCCCGAAAGTAATCGGTTAGCACGAGCTCCCTCCCCTTGGGACCAGCGATCAAGCTCGTGATACTTTCGTGCTCAATTAAGGTGAAACGACACCAACCAACCAGTTTTATGATTTATTAATGCAGACTACAAGACATGTCATTAGATAAAATGACTGAACAATGACTACTTTAACTCGATAAGCAAGTGTTGTGCCATGTGTTTTTACTTAGTTCTAATCAATATTCAATAAAAAGAAGAGGAGAAGCAGTATTCACACTCAGTGAATCTGAGCACAGTCTCAGCCACTGGGCAACTCCAGAGTCAAACAAGTTGGAAAAAGCTGGCACAACCCAGAATTTCAAACCAATAATCTGGTATTCATTTTACATTTAGAATCCAGATTCTGACAGAAGCTCTTTTCTAATGGATGGGAAGGCATTTACACCCCTCTAGACATACAACAAGCAGACACAACTATTTGTAACTTTTTAGCAGGGCCTCTTGGGGTAGGATGAGGGTAATGGCTTTAAACTAAAAGGGGAAGATTTAGGCTGGATGTGAGGAAAAAAAAATTTACAAGGGTAATCAAAACTGGCACAGGTTGCCCAGAGAGGTGGTGGGTGTGCTATCCCTGACGCCATTCAAGCCCAGGCTGGATGTGGTTCTGGGCAACCTGATTCAGTTGAAGATGTCCCTGCTCATTGCAGGAGGGCTGCACTAGATGACCTTTGAAAGTCCCTTCGAATCAAAACTATTCCGTGAGTCTAAGAGAGAAAGAGAAAGGGAGAAAAACAGAGAAGTATCACCACCTATGGATCCAGCAATGTCTCACTGATCCTTTCCACCCAGGGTATTCTCATTGGTGGGAGCTCACCCTCTGACCTAAGCCTTGCCCTTTTATGCTCATATTCTTTGGAGTGCTATCCATAATTTGCATATGAAATATAGAGAGGTGTTACTATGATAATGATGGGCATAATTTAGTGAATACTGTGGAGACAGTGTTCTCACGGGAGAACGCATAATTGGTACATAAACTGAATAATCCTGAAAGATACAGCAAAGCTGTGAGAGGCCCGAGAAAGCTTAAGCAAGCAAGATAAGAAGAAGCTGTAATTCACCGAGTTAATGAGACCTATGGACTGTTGGCAAGCTTTCAAGGTCAAGTTCTCACACCTGTGCTTAACCAATTATGTGTTACTCGCTAAGGGTCTTCAAGACATGCATCCAATCATAATATACCAAATCACTGTAAGTGCCTGTAAGAAATGCTATATAAGGAGTGAAGGCTTTGTAATAAATCGGCATTCGCTGATCACGTTGATCATTTCTGCGTTGTCCGTAACTCCCGCGTCAACAGAATACATGCACAGTTCCAAAGTTGGGGTTCTGTGAGGGTGGTCATTGGCCTTCATATTGTGGTGTCTACTATTTGACTCCATCCTTTGAGTCAGCTCGAGTTAAGCATTTTTTGCATTCTTGTTGCGGCTTATCAGCTTCAAAAAAAGGGCTCACACCAACCCTGTCTATGCAGTATCAAGAGCTAAGGTCCTTGATGTTTGCTTCATTTGTGCTAATTCATGCAAGGCCTCCCATGGTCGAATGCAAATGGTGCCTGAGATAAGCTCAGTTTTCTGATTCTCACCCCAAACTATGGCTCAAACACTGCTGGGCTCAGTACTGGATGTCTTCGTCCACAGTGGTTATATGTATATATGATCAGAAGAAAGTATAGAAGTAGAAAAAATACATGTAATCGTATATCACATGGTAGCTATGTCACTAACAATATCTTCTTTTAACAAATACATCCCTAAAGTTAATTCTACAAAACTGTCCTGGGTTCAGCAGTAGCAGTCATTTTTCTCCTTCTTAGTAGCTGGTGCAGTGCTGTGGTTTTGGCTTTCAGCGTGAGAACAATGCTGATAACACCAGTGTTTTTAGTTGTTGCTAATTAATGTTTACTCTGACCAAGGACTTTCTGAGTCTCATGCTCTGCCAGGGAGGAGGGGAAGCTGGGAGGAAATAGAGGCAGGACAACTGACCCAGAGTAGACAAAGGGGTATTCAATACCACAGCACATCATGCCCAGTATATAAACTAGGGCAGTTACCTGGAAGGGCTAGATTGCTGCTCCAGTCAGGCTGGGTATTGGTCGGCAGGTGGTGAGTGGTTGTATTCCCTTCCTTTGTTATTTCCCTTATCATTATCATTATTGGTGGTAGCAGTAGTGATTTGTGTTATACTTTAGTTACTGGACTGCTCTTACCTCAACCCGTGGGAGTTACATTCTTTCAAATCTCCTCCCCATCCCTCCAGGAGCAGGGGGAGGAAGAAGTGGGAGGAGTGAGCAAGCGGCTGCGTGGTTCTGAGTTACCAGCTGGGCTTAAACCACGAGAAAAAACAAAATGTGTCCCAGGCCACGTTTGAGGACTGTCACTGGGAGATCAGAGGAAGGTAACTGTCCAAAATGGCAATCACAAGGCAAACAAACACATATTAAAATAATAATTACAGCAATAACTAAAATAATAATGTATCCAATATGAACTAACAGACTGTGTATGACATTTTGTCCTTTCTTATTGTGTCTCTTCTGGTGGTATAATTCACCAGCGGCCTCATTGTCTATGTGGTGACAGAGAAGTACCTTTTTGTGTTATTCCTGGGTCTCCAGCAATGCAAAGATGATCATAGTTGTCAACTGCAGCTCTTGTGGTCAATGCAGAGGCTGATGGCCATGCTTCCCTGGTCCACTGGGGCTGGGATTCACATATGCAGCAATTAAACAGATTTCCACAAGCTCATGTCAGTGAGGAACTGCCTCTGAGGGGACATGGGTGGCACATGAATGGTTTGGGACTGGGTACTCTCATCATGGATTTTTCCTGCCTTGCAGTTCGGCTGTTTTCTACCCACTAAGTTTCAAGTGGGTCTTCTAATTATAGCATCATTATATGGTATTCCTTTTTCTAAAATGTCCCTGGCCCAAGCCTAGGGAATTGAAATTGCTGTGTATCCTGATTCCTGACACCCACCTGGTGTGACACTTCCACAGAATAAGGTGTATTCCATCATGATACAGAGTACTTAAGTTCATAGAAGGTTGGATAAAATAAAGGATTTTCTGTAGGATCCCATGGCAAGGGTCTACAACTTACACTGGTTCTAAATGCATTGTTTCCCCCCAGGGTTTGGCATATTTTCATCATTTAACTGATAAGTTTGCAAGGGATCATTGATGGTCAAGACTCAAGAGAGTCAGCCTCTGTGGTATACATATCGAATTCTGTCTTTTCCCACTTTTGCCACTCTGGGTGGTAGTAAGTTGCCCAAGATTCATTCATTAAATAGGGCATATATTCCCATATTGTGGTATTTTCATTAAAAATAAAGGACAAATTTACCAAAGATATGAAAAATTTCAGCCCTTCCTCAGAAGATGGAGGATATGCAATACACAGGCCTTGATCCAAAGAGTTCCACATTTGGGGAAAACCTTGAATCAGCTCCCATGCAAGATTAGGACTTTGCAATCAATACTCCCAGGAGGAAAATGATCCCTCATGGCCATTTTACAATTTTTTTTTCCTAAGTAACAAAAGTAGCTGTTTAAAAATGCTGGCTTTTTTTGTTGTTTTGTTCATTTTTTTAAAGTGAAGAATATCCATGAAGTGGGAAAAACAAGAAAGGAATTAAAATTATTACCTTCTCCTTCACAATATTTTTTTCAATTGCATGAATCTGGTTTTACACTGTAAAAGACTTTACTTTCTTGATTAAGATTATTCATAATCTTTTCTGAGACACAAATAAACATAATTTATTTTTATTATATGTAACCTTTGAATGAATACTCTTGACTCCTCGGGAGCAGGGTCCTGCACGTTAAGCGGGCGTGTATCTTTTTCCACAGGAGCAGTCCCACTCTAAGTCCGAGCACTTAGGGACTGGAGCAGTGCTCCCCAGGCGAGCAGTGGAAGTCAAACAGACAAATGTAAGGACATGAAATTACCGTAAGGTGGCACTGTTATTCCACGTATAAACTACTTGAATCGTTTTCCTGAAGCTTCATAGAGCATGGGGGTTTTTTTTCCCTTTCAAGGTGTTACACGGGTGGGGAACGTGTGTGACCGAGGGCTTCAGTGCTGTGCTACCCAAAGTGGCTAATGAATGCTACCACGTGGTTTTTAGGCCTTGGAAGCAGGGGTCTGTGTAAAACTTGTGAATTTTCTCTGACTGGCCCAATACTGACTGCAAGGGAAAGTAATTTAATAATCAAACCTATGCATAGCAAAGCAGTTCATCTTTACGAAAACCGAATATACTCAGATTTTTCACAGAACTGCTTCCCAGCCGCGGACGCCGATTTCTGATGGTATTCCTGATGAAGGCACCTGCTGCCGACCTGAACTGAAATCGGGGCCGTCCTCCACCACCCGACACGAACCAGCACAGGAGAGAGCGGGGAGCGCTGTTCCCCTCAGCACCTCCAGCCGCTGGGGAGCGCCAGCCCACCTCACAGAGCTCCCCAAGGCCCACGGAGGGGCAACTCCTGCCGCCTGTAGGAAAGAGCCCCGTAGCCTCTCCACAGTAACCACTAAAGACCCCCTGACCTCTCTTCCCACAACAAACCCAGCACTGGAACAAATCTTAGCCACCACATCCCAGTTCCCGCCTCTTCTCCTCCGGCAAGCACCGCCCTCCTCCCATGCCAGGCTTCCGCACTTTACGGCCGGCGCCTTCGCTTCACGACAGCATAGGGGAAGCGGGAACGGGAACCGCTGCGTAAGGAGGGGGGTACTGGGGAAAAAGAGCGCACCACCCGACAGCACTTTGCGGCAGAGCGAGGGGGC